AATATATTTGTTTATTCAAATGAAAAGGAAAGAGAAAAGAGAAAGGAAACATTTATCCTCCCATTCTCTTCCTCTCCTCTCTCTCAACCCAACTAACAAGCTAATTAGGTCTAACAAAGAACAACAGTTATATAAATGATGGCTAGGTGTTTAGTCTTTTTTCTTTCATTTTTTATTTCTTCTTCTTCTTCTTCTTCTTCTTTTAAATTCAGGTGTGCTAACTCTTATACGCCAGGTAGCTGACCTTATGCAGCTGTTTGCCTTTTTATCGTAGACAGCTATATTTTTTTATTTTGTTTACAAATTACCCGCTAAAATAATTTTATTTCAGGTCAAACCAAGGTTTCTCCTTTTAATGTTTGATGTACATTTTCTTTATCTTCTTATCACTTATGATAACTGTTATGTGTAATGTTAGATGATGTACCTACCTTCCCCTTTAAGGTCTATGGTTTTGTTGTATTCTATTGACTGTTCATTTCATTTTAAACAAGGTCCCAGTTAGGGTGGCTGGAGGGCTGTTGTTTGAACTTTTGGGACAATCAGTTGGTGATCCCTTTGTGGATGAGGATGATGTTCCTGTTGTAATCAGGTCCTGGCAAGCACAAAACTTCCTCATAACTGCAATGCACATAAAAGGGCATGTCTCAAGCATAAATGTGTTGGGTATTACAGAAGTTCAGGTTGCTCATTCTTGCCAATTCTTTATATCTAGCACACACAATTTGCTAATACATTTGTTATGATTCAATATGTAATTATGTATGCAAGTTTACAATTTGATTTAGATTGCTGGTTACTCCTGATAGGAGCTTCTTGCTGCTGGAGGTTATAATACACCAAGAACAATGCATGAAGTCATAGCACATCTAGCTTGCCGTCTAACTCGGTGGGATGATAGGTAATTGAACTTTTAACTTTCATCTATAATTCAGCTACGTAATTCTCTTACATTCCTGTGAATGTGTGATTGGTGCTAGTGCCACTTCGTGTTTGTTTTGTTGTTTCTGATCTTGCTCTGAGAAAGGTATATTGACTTAAGATTATCACATATCCAGACATTAAACAAGGCCTTCTTATGTTAAATCAACTCTTGCTTATAGTGAACACACTGAAGAGATCATGAATGATATATATTATATTCACCTAGAGATGAGAGCCGCTCCAATATGAGGAGTGGACACTGTAGTGTAGCTTCATAGTTCGTTGTTTCAGCAACCACGTTAGTGTTATTTGTTGTTCCCTTTTCTTGGAAAGCAGTCTTCAACTGAAGCACATAAGAAAGTTACATAAAAATACATTACAGCTTGCTTTTGTTGAGTGAGAACCATGACTGCACCCTTAGCATTTTGTTTCTTTTCCCTGATCAATCAATCTAGTTCCAAATAATCAATTCTCAAAAGGTGCATTGTAAAACAACCCTATCTATGATTCAAGCCACAAATTTAACACAAGTATTTTGTGCCTCATATTCAAACACTGCTGTGTTAACCTCCCCCTTGTAGTCACTTATTATTAGATGACCATCTCAAAGATTTTACTGAATCTGCTAACGTAATATGCAGAAAGATTTCCTTTCTTTCAGTTTTATTGTTGTCCTTAGATTTACAATCTCAAAATTGTACTACATCTAATATGAAAATGGCTTGCTACTAGAATTTGGTCAAGTGGAAGCATTTATCAGTTCCATAACATACATAATGCAAACCATGGATGCAAAATTATGCAGCCTCTTTACTTATAACCCCAACTGTAATTGCAGAATTTAAATTTTGCAGCCCCTATACTTATGGATTCCCTTCAATGTTTTTAAAATACTAGGTTGTTTCGTAAGTCCATATTCGGTGCAGCAGATGAGATTGAATTGAAGTTTATGAACAGGTACTTTCTTTGGAAAGTTGAAATGTTCTTTGGAAGTGATTCCATTATTTATCTGCTATGATAATGGCCGATAGCTCTCTCAAAATAGGAGAAACCAGGAAGATATGCATCTTTTCGGTATTATTTTGAACCAAGAAATTCGAAGATTATCAAGGCAGGTATGCTATTTCCCCTAGAATGACATCCCCTCAACGTGGGAGACCTATTATATCTGCATCAGCTAAAAATTGAGATTTGCATGACAGTTGGGCAGTTTTCTATATAACTTCAATTTAACTAAACCCACAATCAACAAAGCCTTGTGTTCGTATTATTGGCTTAGAAATTCTATGGTTTAGAAAACAATTGTCTTTGATTCCCAACAATCAACAGAGGGTTTTCTTCCTATTAAATCATTATGTTGTCCAGCTGAGATATTTATAAATTTTGGAGTTGCCATTTCAGGTTATCAGAGTAAAATGGTCACTCCATGCGAGGGAGGAGATTGTTTTTGAGCTTCTGCAACATTTGAGGGGGAATGTGACAAGAAACTTGCTGGAGGAAATAAGAAAGAGCACAAGGGAAATGATAGAGGAGCAAGAAGCAGTTCGTGGCCGCTTGTTTACAATCCAAGATGTTATGCAGAGCACTATTCGTGCATGGTTACAGGTTTGTTCCTTAAACCAAATGAAATAAAACACTGCAGAATTTGGCCCCAAAAAAAAATTTAAAAAAAAAAAAACGTTCAGAGATCTTCCTTAAGTGCATTCAATAACTCTAAAATCTTCTTTCATAATTATCGTTACTACAGGACAGAAGCCTTCGAGTAACTCATAATCTGACTGTTTTTGGGGGTTGTGGCCTTGTTCTGTCTATCATAACTGGACTGTTTGGAATCAACGTTGATGGGATTCCTGGAGCAGATAATACGCCATACGCATTTGGCCTATTTGCAGCCATCCTCTTCTTCATAGGAATAGTGCGGATCGGTGTCGGGCTGCTCTATCTCGGTTTTAAACGGCCCATCACTGAAGAACAGGTTGAAGTGAGGAAGTTGGAATTGCAGGAGCTGGTTAAAATGTTTCAGCACGAGGCAGAGACTCATGCCCAGGTTCATAAAAACATTTCTCGAAGTAATTTGCCTCCAACCACTGGAGACACATTCGCTGATGCTGATTATGTTCTCATCCAGTGAAGGCAATATGATTATGAAAGTAGACTTTTCTTTTATCCCAAAATTGTAGTTCAACTATGTTTGTTTATAACTGAACGAGGAAAAGTTTCACCACAACATTATCAGTTTTTCCTATCTCTAGAGTTTTTCATAATGGGGTTGAATTTTGCAGAACCAGTATGCATAATCTCCATAAGAGCAGATTCTTCTTTTATTCTAACAGAATCTGTCAGTACTTCCTTCAATCTAGATGACAAAACTTTGGCAGAAATATACCTCAAACCACAACCCTCTGCATAAATATCATGTGCTAGTAGTGAAATTTTCGGTTCCCCACAAGCTTTATGATAAAACTCACATAAATTTGGATATAAATCTCCATAGCTTTCAAGTTAGCACATCTAAAAATATGCATCCTCTTAAGTAGAAGATTTTGGACCTTGATTCTTTCAAGTTCGTGACATGCAAGCATGCAGAGATTCTCCCAGAACGGAAGTTCGGAAATAAGTTGATGAAACGTTCCATCAATGAACAAGTAATTAAACAACACCAAGGTTTTCAAACCGTAACAACAATCCCCCACTTTGATCATAAGGGATTGTCTGGAAGAAGACGTGGATGAAGTTTTTCAGACATGGTGCTGCAAGCTCTATGGTCTCCATGCGGAAGCTATCTGTAAATAATAATTCATGGTAAACCATAGTGTTGATTCTTGAACCTGAATCTTTTTTCTTCTAAGGTTAGGGCAGCCAAAAAGGTACAATTCCTCAAGCATGGGAGTTGCAGAAGGAGAGAATGGTGTTAAGTGGGAAAATCCCACATCAAGTATAAAATAGAAAAGCTTGTGGGTTAAATACAAGGAAGGTCACGCCACCTATAGCCAATTGGTTTTAGGTTGGATGCAAGCCTTGTATTGAGTCCACATGCAGGATTTTCAATATGGTATCAGAGCTCAGGTTCTACTATGGGAAGCCCGTTGTTAGCCCACCTGACAGGATCCGAAGTTGATACCAGGCCTGCATTTAAGGGAGCGTGTTAACCCACGTGACAGGACCCGACATTCATAGCGGGCCTGCAGGTGAGGGGGCGTGTTAAGTGGGAAAATCCCACATCAAGTATAAAATAGAAAAGCTTGTGGGTTAAATACAAGGAAGGCCACTCCACCTATAGCCAATTGGTTTTAGGTTGGATGCAAGCCTTGTATTGAGTCCACATGCAAGATTTTCGATACAGGCTTGTTGAATTCACCAAAGGTCATCTGCTTTAACAAAAGCCAATCAATAGTGGATATCCTTCTCAATCAATACCTGCTTATTTCAAATCTCCTCCCAATTCTTCAGAATGAAAAATACGCAAAATCTTTTTTCTTGTCTTTTGAGTTTGGTTCTTTTTTTCTTTTTTTTTTTTTATTTGTCCAGAATCTTCTCTTTTGAAGGCTTGATGTCGATGATGAATTGAATTCAACACACTAAACCAGCATTTTTTTTTCCTTTTTCTTTTCCCGTCCATTCCAATTCCTCTCCCTTGAGCCCTTTCTTCGGCCACACCCAATCACCTTGTTCTCAACCCCGCTCACTCTAGACTTCCCTCTCCTCTTCTTCTTCTTCCTCAACCAAACACTTACCGCCATTCTCATTCCCTGCCGAGATGGAGAATAAGTGAAGAAGGAGATACAGTGAAAGTGCCGGTCATTACTCAAAGTGAAAAGATCACCTCCGGTTCTGGGTTTCTTCTATGGTGGATTTGAGTTGAATCTGAATCCGATTGAGATCCATCGGAAAACTGGGAGAACCGGAAGGATGGGGGAGAGAATAAATGTGTTTGGCAATAGAAAACTTTTACATTTGCAATATAATTCAGTAAGAGAGACAGAGTTCCATTTATGAAGGCAGAATCACAGTAGAGGATGAGTAAGGAAACAATCACAACAGATAAGGAAATCACATCCAAGCAGGAAACCATATCAAAGCAATCAAAGACTGATCCAAGGAGCAATAGCTGCAACGGTCAAAATGTAGAGCAACGGTAGTATTGCTCAATACTAGGCACTAATTTAGGATCTAAACATTTACATGTAAATATATATACATCAAATCATTGTACAGAATGATTCAAGGAAGAATACAATCAATTTCTTCTAATTCTTTCTGCTATC